TACTCAAAATGAACACTGTCCCTTGAATGCAATGAAATGCTCACCAGCTGCCATGTGTGAATCTGGAATATATTTATCTTGTAACTGCAGATTCCAGATTTCACACACATTTCTAATAGGCTCTAGCTTATTATCATTGCTTTTGTTGTTTTTGCATTCACATTGTCAACACATGATGCTTTTGAAATTTTTGATGGCTCATCATTTTGAGAGGATATCCATTTTCTTTGCTCTATAATTACAAAGCATTTTCATTTTTAGATTTATAAAGATCAATTATTGTGACCAATCCAATGAATTTTTAAAATTTCTATAGCATCTGTTTCCCTTTAATCATCTTGGTACACAACTGCCCTCAGCATGTCTCCATTTAAAAACTGTACCAAGTAAATTTTGGTGCATAGTCACCATAAAGATGAAAGATCTTGTCATACCATGTTTTAGCAAAATGGATAGTCAGGTTTCTGCCAGAAAATATTGTGTGATTAAATCATTCTTGTTGAATGATTTAACTGGATGTCATGTTTCTTTTTTGTCTTTAGAAATATGTTATTTACTCACCAATTCCTTAGTTTGAGAAAAATTGTTCTAGGAAAGAGTTTGCTTCTATGACTGATGTCACCATCATCGTTAGAGACTAGAATGCTTCTGTGTGTCTTTGCATTCATTTTGTGATTTGTCTATGTGTGAAATATCCTTGTCTGTCAGTATACTTCTCTTTTGTCATTATGGGCAGAAAAAGAAAAGTCCTGAATTCTCAACTAATGTCTCCAGGCTTCTGAAAGATGATTCAGTACTTTGGGAAATGCAATAAGGAAACTGAAGGATAATGGTTTATTGAAATAAATAGTGATGGTTTATTTCATTCACTACTGCATCTTCCTTCTAGGCAATGTCACCGTTCTTCTATTTTCTTTTTTCCATTTTCTTATTATCTTAGTCTTGTGTAGCATAGTTGGGAATAACTGATGAGTAATATGAAGTAATTTTTAGGAGGATGAAATAGCAAAGTGTTTCAAGACGTAGGAAAAGTAAGTTCATCAAGATCTCAAAGTGTGGCTGGGCTCGGTGGCTCAGCCTCTAAACCCAGCACTTTGGGAGCCTGAGGTGAGTGGATTGCCTGAGCCCACGGGTTCGAGACCAGCCTGGGCAACTTGGCAAGACCTCATCTCTACAATAAATAAAAAATTAGCCAGGCATGGTAACGCATGCCTGTAGTTCTGGCTGCTTGGAAGGCTGAGGCAGAAGGATCACTGAAGCCCAGCCAGTCGATGATGGTGTGGCCATGAATGTTCCACTACCCTCCAGCCTGGGTGACGGGGTGAGACTCCAGCTCAAAAACAAGATTTCAAAGTGCAGCCAGGTGCAGTGGCTCATGCCTGTGATCCCAGCACTTTGGGAGACTGAGGTGGGAGGATTGTCTGAGTCTAGGAGTTCAAGACAAGCATGGGCAACATGATGAGACCTTGTCTCTACAGTAAATTAAAAATTAACTGGGCATGGTGGCACATGCCTGTACTCCCAGCTACTTGGGAGGCTGAGGCAGAAAGATCTGCTGAGCCCAGCAGGTTGAGGCTGCTGTAGCTGTGATTGTGCCACTGCACTCCAGCCTGGGTAATGGAGTGATACTCCAATTAAAAAAAAAATCTCAAAATGTTTTTTAGGTGTATAATATAATCTAATAAATCCCTATGGTAATTGCAAAATAAAATGAATTTCTTATTTTTTAAAAAATAGGTAAATTTTCTCATTGTTCTCTGGAAGATCACTAAAAGAGAAAAGTAATCATAAAGTATCCTTACAAATAGAACTCAAAAAAGAAGCTCAAAACCAAAATGTGGGTCCAGTAGCTTCTGATGACATACCATGAGTGAAGTATGTTCTCCACTGGGGACAGGATGGCAAAGCTGCATGCCTGAGGGGTCAGTGCTGGGAACTGGGGTCTGGCTTCCTGCTGAATGGTAGCAGTCCCATTTATTTGGAGAGCCAAAGTGACCCTGGCTGAGAGCCAGGGTGACCCTCCATAGGCGGCCTCTTGACCTAACCAGTAGTCCTAGGAGATTAGGACACATGGGATGTCACCTTTTGCTTGTGTTCTTGTGAGCCTCACTCATCAGGGACAAGAACCATGTCTTCCCTAATCCATCTGGAGGTCTCTAAGGGTGGGGACACTATCCCGGCAGGCTGGGATTTCCCATGTTGGCAATGATGGTTTGTCCCTTCTACACAAGAACTCCTGTGCTCCTCTGACAGCGGCTGAGCAGATTAGCAAAGCCTGAGGGAGGCAGCACAGACAGGGCTGGCTTTGGAGGTAGCTGGACCCAGGTTGGAATTCCGGCTCTGCCACCACGCCCCAGCCCGATGGCTTTAGTCAGATCACCTCACCTCACAACTCTGAGTCTCTGCTTCTGCATTTGTGCGGGGCAGGTGGGCAGCAGGAGTACCTACCTCACAGATATTGAGGTAAAGATTAGGAAACTGACTTAGTTTCATCAGTGGGAGGCCTTGCTCTGGGCACCAGGGGACACAGAGGTGAAGCTGACACATTTCCTACCTCAAGGGGCATTTGTGTGTGTGTCGGGACTAGAGATGTCACATGTAAAGGTCTGGCCACTTGCCTGGTGAAAGAAGAGGGCAGCGGGCAGGAGGAGGCAACTTGGGTCCAGGGCACCACATGTGCCAAGGCAGATGATGCAGGACAGGGCATTGGCACATGCACAAAAGAGGACAGGGGGCACAAATGGGGTGGGGATGGGGGGCATTCTGCCTGGCACACACGAAGTATCCAGCCCAGGTGAAGTGCCCGTGTCCTCAGGAAGAGCTTGCCCTGGATTTGCCCCTGCTTTTGTCCTGGGCAAGCAAGCAATATAGTGCCTTTTCCACTTTGTCCTGCGGCTGGGGCAGGCAGCCTCAGTGGCCTCGGTGGGGCTGGGCCTCCACCTCACTCCCCCTCCCCCTGTTGCCATTATCAGCTGTGTCCAGATGGTCACAGGCTCCTTAATCTGGGATAATCGGCGGGTTGGAGCTCAACTGGGACCGAGGCCTTTGTGCCTGCGGTGATGGGCCAGCCCCAGCTGGAGAGCCCCTGCAGACAGGGCCCTGGGGCTTGATGGGAGGGGTGTGGGGCTGGGCCTGTGCTGGAGGGAGATGCATGGAGCAGATGACAGCTCCTCTTCAAAAGGCAATCTGGGTATAGACAAGGGGGAGCCTGCAGATGGGGCCTGGCCAGCTCCTCCTGGGCTGGGCTTCAACCTCTCAGAATCTGTCTGTGGTGTCTTTTGTTTCCTTTCTCTCCTCCTCCGAGCATACCCCTCCCAGCAGTTTTGCATTGCTGCCCCTAGAGCCCCAGGCTTATAATAGAACCAGGGGCTAGTGCCACACATTGACACTGGGAACCTCACAGGCCTGGGTGCAGAGTCAGGGTGGCTAGGTTCTCAGGCCTGTGGCTCCAGCACCCTCCACTCTAGGCCTGCAGTTTGCTTTGAGCCTTGACCCCATGGGTGCTCAGGGATCCACCCATTTTTGTTTTCTGTTGTTTCAGCCTCTTCCATGACCTTGGCCCCAGCTTCTACCTCTGGGAGGAGTGTGAGAAGGAATGAGTTTGGGAATAGACACTGGGGCCTACAGAAGCATTTGTAACCATCTCTTTCTTCTTTTTTTTTTTTTTTTTGAGTTGAGGTTTCACTCACTCAAACTGGAGTGCAGTGGCACAATCACAGCTCACCACAACCTTGACCTCCTGGGCTCAGATGATCCTTCTGCTTCAGCCTCCCGAATAGTTAAGTCTACAGGCACATGACACCATACCCAGCTAATTTTTTTTATTTTTGTAGATTCGAGATTTCGCTATGTTGCAACAAGCTGGTCTTGAATTCCTAGGCTCAAGCAGTCCTCCTGCCTTGACTTTCCAAAATGCCAGAATCACAGGAGTTAGCCAATGTACCCTGCCACCATCTCTTTCTTAAGTTAGGTAGTGGGAAACAGATATTTAGCTTATTATTCTTTGATTTTTTATTTATTTATTTTTGATTTGGAGTCTCACTCTGTTGCCCAGGCTGGAGTGCAGTGGCACACTCAGGCCACCCCAGTGTCGACTTGCTGGGCTCTGGCTATCCTTCTACCTCAGCCTTCCAAGTAGCCAGGACTACAGGCATACGCTACCATGCCCGGCTAATTTTTGATTTGTTGTAGAGACGCGGTCTCATCAAGTTGCCTGGGCTGGTCTCGAACCCGTGGACTCAGGCAATCCACTCGCCTCAGCCCCCCAAAGTGCTGGGATTACAGGCTCAGCCACCAAGCCTGGCCTAGCTTATTATTTTTTAACTGTTTTATATAATGTATGTATAGCTATACACACATACTTTTTATGCATGAAACCCCAACTCAAAAATAATGACCACACCACTATTATGAAAGTAAATGAGGTGATGTATGTGCTATGGTGTGAATTCAGAACCTAATGCCCAGTGTGATATTGTTAAGAGGTGGGGGCTTTGGGAAGAGACTGAATCACTTAGGAAGTGAGGACATAGCCCTCTCGCATGGGATTAGTGCCCTTATCCAAGAGGGTGCAGGGAGCTGCCTTGCCTCCTTTCACCATGTGAGGTCACAGCAGGAAAGCACCATTTGTAAAGCAGAGAGCCCTCACCAGACATCAGATCCACTGACACCTTGATCTTGGACTTCCCAGTCTCCAAAACTGTGATAAATACATTTCTCTTGTTTATCTGCTTGTTTTTGAGTCAAAGTCTCACTCTCGCCCAGGCTGGAGTGCAGTGGCACGATCATGGCTCACTGCAGCCTCAACTTGTTGGGTTCAGGATGATTCTTCTGCCTCTGCCTTTGAAAGTGCTATATTACAGGCATGAGCCACCCTGCCTGGCCAATTTCTGTTGTTTTTACATTATCTAGTTTAAGGTATTTTCTGATAGCAGCCCAAATGGACTAAGACGGTATGAAAGTGCTTTGTAAAGGGGAAAAGCAGGGAGCAGATTTTGGGGATTACTTCTTCAGGCAGAGCAGGCTCAAGCTGGAACACAGACCCAACGAGGTTTTATTTCTACAAGAAAGGGGCCAATAATAAGTTAAGGGGCTATGGAGGTGCCACGAGGGAGCAGGGTGGTGTGCCTGAATTCCACCTGCTTCTCTGCCTCCTGGCTCGGACCGTCCAAGTCTGAGTCACCTGCCCAGGCTCTGGACGATGGTGACACAGCCATGGGAGCTGGTGCAGCGCTGCAGGGATGTCTGGGCCTCTACCTGCCCACTGCTGGGGTCAAAGGTGAAGATCCTGTTGGTGCTTTCCCCACGGTCATCCCGCCCGCCAAGAATGTGGACCTTCCCGTCACACACAGTCACGCCACAGCTCTCCTGGGTGGACAGACAGAAAGACAGTCAACATTCGGGTCTGGCCTGGGACTCCCTCTGTCCCTAGCTGGTCAGGCAAGATATCAGAACCTTGACCCACAGACTACTACAGGACAGTCTGGATGACAGAGAAGCAGGAAACCAGATGGACCTGAGTTCAAGCTCCAGCTTGACCCTTGCTCAAGGGAAGGTTAAACAAATCACTTTACCTCTCTGGGTCTCAGTTTCTTCATCTGAGGGAGAGGAATAGTGCCTTCCTCATAGGATTCCCTTAACAGCACAGATAGCACTTTACAGAGTGTGTGGAATGTGGTAAGCACACTAATAACAATCACCACCACCATTTTAGGATCGCAGACCCAGAGGATCCAGCAATCTCAGGCTCTTGGGATCGCCAAAGATCAAGACTGGCAAGGACCACCAGCCCAACCACACCTCTCTATAATTTCTTTGAAGATTTGAAGGGTAGAGACAGAAGGTGGGGGAGGCAAGGGGACTGCTGGATCCAGAGCTTTTAGGACCTGACATCACTGCGGCAGGAGCACTCAGCAAGTCCCTTCCCCACCCGCCACCCCACAATAGGCTACCAGCTAGTGGGATTCAGGGCAGGAGAGACTGCAGGGTCATTTAGACCAAACCCCTCACTCAAGGCTACAGCACTTGGAACTAGGGTTCCAGGGTCTATTTTTTTTTTTTTTTCCTCGAGTTGGAGTCTCACTCCAGGCTGGAATACAGTGTAAAATTGGGATTTTGGTGATCTTGTCTTTCCAGCTCCCTTGTGATGTTTCCATTTTCTTGATGTGTGTTCACAGAGATATAAATTCACCTCTTAGTATTGATTTCATGGCATCTCAGAAATTTTGGTCAGATTTTTTTTTCATTTGTTTAGGAATCTTTGATTTTTGCAGATGCAGGAGTCACTCAGCATCATGATGTCTAGTGTCCATGTCCCATGCGTTCACTCAAGGCTACAGCACTTGGAACTAGGGTTCCAGGGTATATTGTGAAGGTGCATCCTCGAGTTGGAGTCTCACTCTGTCGCCCAGACTGGAGTGCAGTGAGTGCTCCCAGCCACCGCAGCCTCGACCTGCTGGGCTCCGATGATCCTTCCGCCTCAGCCTTCCATGTAGCTGGAACTACAGGCACACGCTACCACGCCCGGCTGATTTTTTGATTTATTGTAGAGATGAGGTCTCGCTACCCATGCGGGCCTCGAACCCGCGGGCTCAGGCAGTCCACTCACCTCAGCCTCCCAAAGGCACGGGATTATAGGCTGAGCCACCAAGCCCGGCTCCAGGCCCTATTTTAACATGGCCTAACTGTTGGCTTCAGCCTAAGGCCAGTCTCCTCATCTGTGAAATGCACGATTGATTATCATCATGAGGACAAAGCTAGAGACCTCTGCAAAACCACTTAGCATGGAGTCACATGCAGGACTCCCTCCTTCTGAGATCCACAGCCTTTGACGAAGGTTCCACACTTCTGAATGGAACCGGTGCCAGGGCCTGTGCCTAGTAGCCTCCACTTACCACAGGGCTGGGGAGGACAGCTGCCTCCCCCCAGACATCTGTGCCAGGATCGTAGGTGAAGATTTTGCTCATGAGGCCCCCCACCACATAGATGGTGTCCTCAAGGGAGACAGCCTCGAGACATCGCTGTGAGAAAGGTGCTGGTGACCGCAGACTCCACCGGTCCTCCTTGGGGTCAAAGCACTGCACCTGAGGGGAGGAAGGAGCAGCCATGATGAAGCCTTACCCCCCAACTGCCTGCTGCCCACACATGCCACCTCTCTTCTTAGGGGCATTCATTCAGCACAACATTTACCAATGTCCACCAGGCCCGAACCAGCATCTGGAAAGGTAGAGGAGACCCAGCGCTCCTGTCCTCAAAATCTCTCAGTCTAGTCCTCTGTTCTATCGTCCTCTGCCTCTGGACTCCCTTTATTGTAGGCCTCCTCATCTTTCAAGGTCCAGCTCAAATGTCACCCCATCTCCTAGCCCTGCACCCTCGCAGGAACAACTTCTCCTTTGATGTAATATCATAGGAGCACATCACATCACCTGGGGGAGGTATGCATCCCGGGAGATAGAGGTACCATCTGCACCCAGTGTTATGGAGCAGTGGTCTCCAACCTTTTTTGGCAGGGACTGGTTTCATCGAAGACAGTTGTTCCATGCAGGGAGTGGTGGGGGCAGGGGTGGGGGTCATCAGACATTAGATTCTCACAAGAGTGCAATCTAGATCCCTCACATTTGCAGTTCACAATAGGGTTTGCGCTCCCATGAGAATCTAATGCCACTGCTGATGTGACAGAAGTGTCATTCACCTGCTGCTAACCTCTTGCTGTGCAGCCCTGTTCCTAATGGGCCAGAGACTAGTACTGAGTTGAGGACCCATTATAGAGGGTCTTCAGGGCAGGTCGCTCACAGAGATGCGTTCCTAGCTACATCCACTGTCAACTCTTCTCTTTTCCTGGTTGTCCGAGGCCATGACAAAATTCCAACTGAGGTGTCTTGCAGTCCCATTCATGTGGCTGTCCAGAGCCTCCCAGGCCCATGGGTGTTTTGAAGCCCTTAACACTTTCTAAGGGGGCATACCTATACCTAGCTGCCTGCTCACCTGACTCCATTTCTTGCGTTGTTTCCTTGGAGACCCCCCACAGCAACAGCCTATACAAACCAGTGCTGCATGGGATGGTGCCAAGTGGCGGGGTCGCCATCATGGGTGCCCCAACTCAGCTTCAGGAGGGTGTACTGGAGGAATGGAGTCAGTCAGGGAATAAGGAAGGGTTGGGAATCTTAACTTGGGAAGATTCAGGTTTCAGGACCACAGGCTTGTGGAGCCATCAGGGGAGGGAGGGAGGGAGCTGCCATGATGAAGACTGTTATTCACAAAAAGCCTAACTGTCCAACAATAAAAAAATTAGATTTGTTGACTATGGTTCATCCACCCTGTGGAATGTTACACAGACATTGGAATGATGGCTGGGAAGAGTTTCTAAGCTTGTGGAAATGAGAATAAAAGGCAGAATGCAACATTTTACTAACAGTAAGGACACACAACTAAGAAAAGTAAAATTCAATTCAGTGGAAGCCTGGAAGGCAAGGCACCAAAATATTAATAGTAGTTATCCATAGGTGGTGGGATTGTGGTGGTTTTTAAATTTCTACTTATTTGTGATTTCTAAATTTTCAGTAACGAGTTTTTGAGCAAAAATGTAACAAATCTCACCCTTGCCTTCACCTAGTTTTTAAAATCGGTGAAACCCATATGACACCAGCCCCAACATTTGAACCCAGGTGAGCCGCTGACCCACTGTGCGACCCTGAGGTCATTTCCTGGCCTGAAACATAGGGGTGACTCCTCGGGGCTGTTGACTGGATTAAGGGAGGAAATGGACGAGGACACGAAAGCGCCCGGCTCCGACTCAGTAGGCGCTACGGATTCTCCGCAGCCCCTCTCCGCGCCCACCTTGTCAGTGTTGACGCCGTCCTGTCCGGCGCCCCCGATCACGTAGAGCTGGCCCGCGCAGGGCGCCACCGCCGCGGAGCTCACCGCCTCCGGGAGGGGCGGGGCGGCCGCCCAGGTGTTGGAGAAGGGGTCGTAGCGCTCCACGCTGCGCAGCCGCCGCAGGCCGTCGAAGCCGCCCACCGCGAACAGCTGCGGGAAAGGACACCGGCAGCGGCGCTGGGAGTCAGGGCCGTGGGCCACTCGGCCTCCCGCTTCCGCCTTCTAGTCTGTGAGCCAGGAAACTATCCCATCCCCACCCAGCTTCCGGACCAAACCGACCCAGGCCGGGACTGGGGGGCAGTCCAGCGCTGCCCCTACCTGAGTATCCGCCACCCAGTTATGAACCTCTCTGACCCCATTAAGGATGAGACTGGTCCCTAGGATGGGTATTGAATGCGGAGTCGATCTGTAAAATAACTTGGCACCAAGCTGATGCTTAATAATGATCGCTTATTAAGGGCTTCCCACCTCACTTAATCGATTCTAAGAAGCATTTTTATTTGCACTTCTGAATTCAGGATATAGCTTACAAAGTTACTTGACAGGTTTTTTGTTTTTTTTTTTTTCAGTCTTACGTGGCAAAGTCAAGATTCAGACTTAGACTGTTTCAAACCTAGAGCCCATGCCCTTGACCACGAGGTTGTTACTATTACAGTAATTGCTAGTATTATTAGCATTTGCATTATCATGTAACCTTGGGCAAGTCCCTTTCTTTTTTCTGGGCCTCAGATTCCTTCTTACACAGAAGGGGGCTTAGAGGACCTTTCCCCAAGATCTCCATAGATCTGTACCTTAGGTCCCAGGACAGCAGCTGCACTGTGTGCCTACCTGACCCTGGGCAACTGCCATCTTGTGTCTCCACCTGCCCTTGAGCAGTGAGGCTACCTTGATCCAGGTGTGCAGGTGGGAGCTAAACATCCATACGTCACGGCTGTTGATGTGGCCTCCTGGAGAGAGAGAAGCAGCTGTTGCCTCCAGGAACTTGCTATCTGAAGCACCCCCAAAGAGCTAGAAACTAGGAAGGGTTAAGGGCAGGTAGCAAGAAGGACTTTCCCCTGGGCTGATGTAAGACGCTGGGCCTGTGACCCAGTGTGCTTTGGACAAATAGTGAGAAGGTCTAAGTTAGAACTCTTCAGGGGAGAGGCCTGCCAGATCCAGGAAGGAGCTCATCTTTACTGGGTGTCTTGTGGTGGCGTGCCAAGCTCTGTGCTCAGGGAAGCCAAGAGGGAGCACTCCACTAAAGGTAAGAGTACACAAGTTACCCCAGACAAGTATCAATAATGTGCTGGGGGCCAAGGGAGCGCAGAGCCACCACACTGGGAGCAGGGAGGGGGGACGGTGATCTTAGAACCCTCCATCGCTTCTGCCTTCACCTTCATGATTTCATTTCTGATCTCATCCCTGCATGAGATGTTGGGAGTATTATACCCAGTTTACATATAGGAAAGGGATGAGGCTGAGAGACCAGCAATGACTGCTGAAGACCACACGGCTTTTTGTCTGAGCAATGACCGGGACCAGAGCTTTTGGCCCCCAAGCCCAGCACTGGTGCTGCTGAAGGACACAGGCTATGGGGCAAGGCACTGGGGCTGCAGGCTGTGGTCTCTCCTTCCCCTCGCCTAGCCACCCTGGGGATCCTGGCCAGGGATTCCTCTCAAGAGCAGCCTCTCCAAGGATGACCTGCCTGACTGCACCTACCTGAGCCACATCTGGTTGGCAGCCCCCACCTCTGTATTCTCAGAAGCATCCAGCAGAGGTCCCACATGTTGTTCAGAGGCCAACGGCAGCCCTAGATATATTGTCCAGTGGAAATGTGTGGCCTGATTGGTCTCTGAAGCCTCCCCAGCTCATTCTCCTGCTCCTCAACTTTCACAGACACCCATAGTTCACTACCTCAGGTACAGTCTACCTAGGCCCAGAGCCAAAGCCTCCCTGCCAGACTCATTTACAGTAGTTTTCCTTCCTCTCCAGGATATACTTATCCTGCACTTCAGAACCCTGATGCCCAGGGTTCCTTTCTGCGTGTCCCTGTCCTCATGCCTTTGTCTACTGTTCCCTTCGACTTTCAAGGATCAGCCGAAAAGTCATCCCTTCCATGAAGCTGGGCCAGATTCCCTAAGTGGTATTCCAGATCACTTGGGGACTCAGAGGGCACTCTGTCTGGTGGTAAAGTGAAGTCTCTCTGTCTTGCCTCTTCAGGGTACTCCAGGGGAGGAAGGACTCTGTTTTATCCTTCTCTCTCTCTTTTTTTTTTTTTTTTGAATTATTTTTTATTTTATTTTTTGAGTCGGAGTCTCACTCTGTCACCCAGACTGGAGTGCCGTGGCTGCTCCCGGCCACCACAGCCTCGACCTGCTGGGCTCTGGAGATCCTTCCGCCTCAGTCTTCCAAGTAGCTGGAACTACAGGCGCGCACTACCACACCCGGCTAATTTTTTGATTTATTGTAGAGATGAGGTCATGCCAAGTTGCCCAGGCGGGTCTCGAACCCGCGGGCTCAGGCAATCCACTCACCTCAGCCTCCCAAAGCGCGGGATTACAGGCTGAGCCCCCGAGCCCGGCTATCTTTCTCTATTTAGAGCCTGAATCTCAGGGAGGCCACAGTTCATATCAAACAGATCTGCGTTCCATCTAGTTTTGCCATTTTTGAGACAATGGGGGAAATTCTGAGCCTCTCTGAAGCTGTTTTCCCATCTGTAAAATGATGTTGGGACGGGATTAAATGATAAGGAAAGTAAGCTGCTTAGCATAATGTCTTGCACATAGTAGCCTAGACAAAGAGAAATGATTATTAGTACTAAGATGAACTGAATTCCCTAGGAAACAGACTCAGAAAAAATATGAATCGAAGCTGGCATAGCTGAATAGAGGGCTGAGCCATACAGTGATCGGATCTACTACACACCACTTCAGCCAGTAACTGTAGGGTGTCAGAAAGCATCCCGCCCCCATCTCCCGATTGGAGGGAAAAGCAAAGGGGGCAGGCAGTGTGCGGGAGGCGATGAGCCAATCCCAAGGGGGCTCCCGCTGCGGTCCCGCCCTCACCGGAGACGTAGACGTCATTGCGGAAAGCACAGGCAGCGAACTCTGAGCGAGTGTAGCCGGGCAGGCTGGGCAGTGGGGTCCAGCGCTGGCTCTGTGGGTGGTAGGCGTCGGCGAAGGGCAGCCTCAGTAGACCCTTGCGGTCGCAACCGCCGATGACCACGATCACTTCAGCTAGGTCCATGAATCTGGTGTGGGGAGAAGCCCAGTGCTCGTTGACCCGCATGCTGACCACACCGTGAGGTCCAGCTGCCCTTCCATGCCATAGTACCCCGAGCCCCTCCCCCCCCACTGGAGTCTACCACTTCCAATCTTCCCTCTGGTGATTGGCGAATTCTTACCCCATTCTACTGGCTTCTAAATTACAGAAAAAGAATCATGCTCCCTTACTCTTACTTGGGAAAATCACTTCGTCTAATCCTTATGACAGCTATGACAGTTCTATTAGGTGGGGATTATTACCTGCAGGGGTTTTTACGGGTAGGGATTATTACTGCTTTCACAGAGGAGGAAATCTAGGCTTACAGACTATGACTTGCCCAAAGTTATGCAGCCGGGAAACGGCAGCGCTGGAATTCAAGCCCAGGTTTATCTTCAACATCCTCTTCTGACTTCCTTCTATGACCATCTCCTAAAGTCTCCCCCCGATCACTGAGTCCACTGAACCAGACTACTCACCCTTTCAGCAAAGCGTGCGTCCCTCTCACTGACCCCTCAGGCTTCTGGCCCCACCAGAATTTCCAAACCCTTTAGCCACTGGCTTTCTAGCTCCTCTGGCGCATACCGAGCATCTCCTTGGTCCTAGGACCTGTGCTTAGTGTTAGTGATTCAGTAGTAAGACAGTGCCGTCCCTGTCTTCTCTCCCGGGGAGTGACAGACCATCTAGGACCCCAGTCTGGCATTCCAGGGTGGGAGTCGGCCTCTTTTACTTTTCCTTCCCGCCCCTGCCTATTGATATCCCCCACTAGTGTATGAGCTCCTAGAGGGCAAAGGGTGTTTCCAAGTCACCCCCGAGTCTCGGGCACCCCAAGCAGGACTTCACAGAGCAAGCACTCGGAATTACGGATGCAGGAGCGCAAGGAAGCATGTGCGCGGGCGCGCCTCTCTCCTGTGGGAGAGGCGCACATCTCCCCATTGGCCCGTGAACTCCTGCAGGGCGGAATTCCCGGCACCAAGCCTACACAGTGTTGGGCGAATGGCTGCGTCTCAAGAGGCACGGCTAAAGGACGGCGGGGGCACGGGCGAGCGGAGGAAGGGCGCGAGAACAGCGGAGGGCG